AAAAAAAAATTTGGAAAAAAAAAAAAAAAAAAAAACCACTCATGTCAATTAGTATGTCTCTATTTTTTCCACATTTTCTAAATGAAGAATGGATTTACACCCAAGTCAAAAGTTGGAAGCTGCTAAGCAACTGCTAAGCAAGAGCACCATAACAATCTCTTATGCTGTTTCAGCCTTATGTTATTTGAAAATACCAGGTTAGAAACCTTAGACACAGTTTATCATAAAAAATGTGACAGATTTAACAATAGTGAAGGGGAAAAAAATGTAAGAACAAGGTACAAACATCTGGGTGCATATTAGGATTTTCTCTTTTGCAATTTTCCAGGAAAACTGATGTTCGTATCCCCAAGGAGAGAAATCCAACTTTGTATTAATGCACAAATCTCAAAAGAATAACATCCATACCTCATTTTGAACATGCATGCATTTCACTTCTAGTCCTATACAGGACCCAGGACTGCCAAATGCTTATCATTCTCACCACTAAGAGAAGTCAGCAAGAATTGACAGTGCATGGCACCTTACCAGGTTGCTCAGCACTTTGCAGAAGCACTCCACCACTAAGGTCCGAGCCAAAATCCATTGATACAAATGGGTTTCTTCAAATCAATCTTACCATGGGCTTCAAAAACTTTCTGATCAGCCCCTTTTTAGAAGCAAAATAAAAATTCTGAATGTGTAATTAGCATATAATCAACTCAAAGGATTTTAGACCTGGTTGTTCATTATTAGCCAAGAAGAACATTTCTCTCCTGCTGGCCAAACAAACGATAGTCAAAAAATTTTGCAATGAGATTGCATACAGAATGTAAAATAAGCCTTGTACACTGACTGCTACAGGATTGAATGCATATTGTTTTCTGCTTGTAGTATATAGTCATAGAGTAGAATATCTTATTTCACACAGTACTCCAAGACTCTATAACAAATATAGCGTTATATTTATTCTATTTTTCTGTGTTTTGGGCCAAGTTTTCAAAAGTGCAATCTCCTTTCATGCTCTGCCCCCTTCCCTTTACTTATGTAAAACCTGGATTTATATGCTAAATTTGAGTACAATGAAAAATACAGGCTTCTCCACTCAAATATACAGACCCCTTATACATTTTTAGGTATACATAAAATTGTTCAAATACAGATTTATGTAACGGTAAGTAATGTCTAGTTTGCTTTTTCTTTATTGTCAGAGCAGTTGACAAAACAGTTATAGTACACTTAGGAGCAGAAAATGCTATATTTTAATTTTGAGGGCCCAATCCTGTCCTATGGAAGTCTTCAAGAGTTTTGCCACTGACTGCAACGATATGAGTCAGACTCTAGCTTCAGCAGCAAACCTTGCAGCTAACTTCCTTACCTCACAGTTATGTCAAATGATATAAAAACAGAGAAGGGAGGGAGGAGGGAAAAAAAAAAAAAAAAACATTGACAGCATTATAGTGCCCAGAAATATCCACTAAAATTATTATAACAGGCAGGACTAGAAGAGCATTTTGATTGAATTAAGACCCTGATCCAGTCCTCATTCAAGTCAATAAGCAGACCCCCAAGTCACTAGTGGTCCTCTATCCAACTTATTATGGCTTCTGACCAAGTTGTGGAGAGCTGAAATAATTTGTGCAAGAGATGCGAACCAGCTCTGGTTTAAAGGTGCCACTGACTTCATTTCTTTAGAGACAACATTTTCAGGTGGATTTAAATATATATTTTTGATATAAACTACTGGTAGATATACCATCATACTTGCACAAAAAACTGAATCTGTATCTGCAAATGAGCATGAACATATACATTTGATGCCTTCATAAAGAAACATGCCAGAAACCATACACTCTTACATGACATATATACCTTGCTTTTAGGAAGGCAAGATGAAGGGAGGGAAAAAAAAAAGAAAATATTTTTACAGAGTTATGGTTGCAAACAGCAGAGACAAAGCTTAATCTGCAGCTTGCTCACTCACTCTCTCTTTTCTGCTCAGGCAAAAGATACCGTTTTAACCCCTTTGCAGCTTAACAGTCAGCAGCTCTTAGTTGCTAAGCCAAAAGCTGAAAGTGAAGTTGCTGCTGAAGACTGGACCCCATAGGTGCCTATACACATGCTCTGATGCTTTCTAATTAGAACACATCAGAGCAGGCTTGTTTAATCTAATTAGCATGCTCCAGCATACTGCAGAATCATATGTATTCAGTGTCCTGCATTTCAAAATGGTGGCAGGGCACTTTAACTAACACTGGGTCAAACAAGCTTTGGTTAAAGCACTCCCACAGCCATTTTGAAATGTGGGAAGCTGAATATATGTGATGCCCAGGTGTTTATTAGAGCAGCTGTCCAGGAACCTAATTAAAACACCCCCCACCCCAAAGCACATGTATAGACACCCCATGAATGGATCTAAGATTTTGAAAAGAGCTAAAAAATTTAGACTACAAGACTGTGAAACAGAAAAAAGACCAGGAGTGGCTAAATTGCAAATCCTTCAGCAAAATTGCTGAAGAAAGACTAGCTTGATTAGGAGAACATCAAGACCATTAAAAGGAGAGTGGGATATTAATCCCTGTTGAATGAAAAACAATTAGCAGAAATCAAATAGTTTCTAATGAACCATAAAAAGTCAATTGATGCCCTCAGTGCTGCCCCAACAGATGTGCCATTGCTGCTATTCTGAAAGAAAAAACAGTTTCCCCATATAAGACATGAACCCCAATTTTGGAAGACTCGTTTTGGGAAGGAGCACGCACACTATACTAGTATATGCAATATTTTTAAGGGAGTTTTCAAAAAGCCCATTACTGAGAACCTAAACAAGCATTTATGTTTTTCAAAAATGCATCTTTTACTTAACTGTTTAAATGTTAATTAGAAATCTCCCTAGTTAAACAATACCCACAAATTAAGAGGCATTGTGAAATATAGTGCACTGGCAATAAGCCAGAACCCCCGCCTGAAGAGCAGGTTAGCTCACAAACAAATGTCCTGTTTTAAGCCATTAATTATTTCTATCTGCAATGACTTGAGGGAGACACAAACAGATGAAGAGCATAAGCCGGGCATGTAATTCACTATAGCCTTGATCCTAGAGACAGATCCACATAGGTGAACCCATATACTTGGGGTTTTGTACAGGTGTCAATTGCAGAGTAAAAGCTTGTAAGCATAATCCGCTGTCACTTACTTGAGCAAAGCTCCTACCATTAGGATACCCTGCCACAAATGTGAGCAAGAAAAGCAGCAAAATGAATTCCTTCATTATATTATTTAGACTCTAAATTGTTAGGCTATCTGTTATAGGAATACCCTATAGAACATAAAATAAATTAAATCAAGCTGGTTCCATTGAGGCTGCTTTAAAAAGTCTACAACATTTTAAGAGAGATTTTTTAATCTTCTACAAATTGAACAGCAAGAACAGATTTATTTTTAAATGGAGTCTATAGAAGTCTTAAATCAAGTTAAATACAGGTAGATAAATTGTTGTATTCTACTAAATTCTACAGGACTTGGTGATGCTTCCTTCCTACCAAAACACCAAAGTCTCAGTTCAGGAAGATAACTTAAGCAAATACTTCTCTCTAAAAACCATAAGTAATCTAAGTGAAATTAACTGGCTTACTCACATGCTTAATTTAGGTGCATAACTCTGTATTTTTTCTGAATTATGGCCCTAAAGGGTAGGGAAAATATTTAAGATATTCTCTAATTGTTAATTCCTTATAATTGAATAAATGCAAATTAAAGATTCTGGAATGCTGGCAGTGTCTAGACCCACACAATAGCCCTGAGGAAGATTTCAGATTAATTCTTGCTGAGCTTAACTATATATTTGTAGTCTCCAGGGCTCACTGAAAAAGGACACAAAGATTTTCTGCAATAAGCATTAAGGTTTAAAATCTTTAAAGCTCAGAGATGTGATGGCCTAGGAAAGTGACACTGCAGTTTGGAGGCTTTTCTCTGTAGGTTGCTGGCTCCAACCCAGAAGGGGCCAAAAGTAATAATAAATTGTAATTATCTCAATAGATCATTCCAGAATTCAAGACAGATATAAAGGTTTATCTATGGGAATATAATTGCAGGATCATGACCTACAGCTTTTAATCTGACTCCTGGCACAAAGACACCATTTACACTTCATTTCACATGGTTTCATTATTCCTTTCTTCTCTAATCAGCCTAAGAACTGATGAGTACACAAATAGATACATTTTTTCTACCTTGCTTCATAATGAAGTAATAAAAATACCTAGCTCTCAAGTGCTTTAGTATTTTCATAATTATTATTCTTTTAAAACAGTCACAAGTATATCTATCATATCAGGAGTCTTTGCAAACGTGGTTTCAGTAAAAGTATAGACCCACCATTCATCCCATTGTACACGCTTCTGTGATGAGGTGACATGTCATCTGCTCCTTGTCTCCTCAGGGTACCTTCTCTGCTGCCTCCTCCAAGATGCTTCAGATGTTCCGGACTTCCTCCATAATGCTGTTTGAGATGCTCAGGGCTAGTACCCCTCACTTTGTGGAGATGCTCTGTGCTTCCACTCAGTGCATGTTTCTGAAGGTGCTCTGGGCTGCCACTGCTGTGCTTTTGATGCTCTGGGCTACTACCAGGTCTATGTTTCTGAAAGTGTTCAGGGCTACTACTTAAAATGTGCTTAGGAAGAGTTTCTGGACTACTACTGGCATGCTTTTGATGCTCAGGACTACTTTTACCAATGGCTTTGTGATGTTCTGGACTTGGTCCTTTCAGGTGTTTCTGATGATCAGGACTTCCAGAGCTCCTGGGTTTTTGAAGATGCTCTGGGCTAACGCTCCTATGTTTTTGATGCTCAGGGCTTCCCTCACTCCTACTTTTTTGGAGATGCTCAGGACTGGTACTTGGGTGATGTTTATGATGGTCTGGACTGTCTGTACTTCCAGTGCTAGAAGTGCTGCTCCCATCACCAACATCTCGGATATATGGACTTGCTGCATTTAACTGGCAGAGGCTGATTTGGCTGTCTATAGAACTCCTGCTGCCTGCTCCGCCACTTTTCTCTTCATCCAACAAAACACAGAGTTCTTTTAATTCCAGGTTCTCTTTAACTACTTCTTCTTGTCTCATCTCCAGTTCTTTCAGTTTCTGTAAATATAAGGAAACCTCTTTGTGCATAACCCCAGCACTGTACCTGCCCAGTCTTTGCCACTCTCGGGATACCTTCTTGCCTTTCTGTCTATCATCATCCAGGAAACAACAAAGGTCTCTCAGTTCTTGGTTATCTTCCTGCAGCTTCTGATTGATATCCTTTAAAATATGACAATCACCAGTGAGAGAAGTTTCCAAAAATGAACATTTATTCAAACATTCAACAGTGTAAGAGCCAGTTAACAGAGATGCTACAGATCTGTCATCTAATTTCCCCAGCCTCCTCTATTAAGGACATGTCAACCAAAAGAAGAACTAGAAATTTTGCATGTTGCCTGACCTGCTACAACTGCACAGTGCTTCTGTAAAAGAGGAAATTGTCCAAATACAGAAGTGAACATCACCATGACTGAATCTGAAAAGGTTCCTAGATTATTCTCAGATATGGCACCAAAAATCTCATTTATTTAAAGAAAGATAATTGAAAACCCTTATTCTCCAAAAAGAGCAGAAGAAGTCTCATAGTCTCTGTCATGAGATTTTCACTAGCATGATACTATTGTACGTTATTAATGAACAAAAAACAGAAAGTGTAAGAGAGCTACTAATTTCATATATCTAAGGTTTAAATCTATTTTAATTTGATGAACTAAGTACACAGACAAAACCAAACTCTTCACAGCTTAAAAATATTTGGGTGTTGTTTGATTTGTTTCCTGTTTTGCACAGAAGAATCTCATAAAATCTGATTGATGCTAAATTGGTTCAACCCAAAAAAAAATTTTTAGAACATGCCCTCATGCCCTTCTCCAACTGCTGAAAATTCATACTGTGAAGTAAACTTATTCAAGCCACTGCTACATCAGAACATGATGCACAGTGAACCTTTTTTAATCCAGGAAGGGTGGTGTCAGCAGTGCACTGGCACAGGGCACACTACCACAGGGGACAACAAATTAATAGAAGCACATAGGGGAAGAGGGGAAGCGCTCTGCACATGACCCGCTCACTTTTTTAATCGAAATACATTTCTAACAAATCACGTTTCCTTTTTATGTTTAATATGAAAACTAGAGTTTAGCCACCCCTGTGACATATTAGCCTTTCGGAAAGTCATATTTCTTCTACTTTCCTAATAACAAAGATGGCTGATGCATCCCAGGCAGTAATCCCAGGATAGTCTTTTTTTTAAAAAAAAAAAGAAATTGGCTGCTGAAATCCCGCTACAGTTCAATGGGAGTTGGGAACCAAACACCCTCAAACTCCTTGAAAAAAACTATAGCCATAAAGCTTTTCAGTGCTAACTTCCAAGTTCTTAAACATATGTAAAATATTTTACTTGTTAAAAAGAGAATAAGACCTCTGTAATGAATAATATCTAAAATGAACTTTTAAAACTTTAAAGAGAGACCTATAAATTATTCAAAGAAAATTCATTTTCAAGTTCCATTTCAGGAGTATGAAAAAAAAGGGGAAATAAAAGTATCACTTAGGGAGTTCAGAGTTGGGTGGCACTATCACCCATCCCGAGACATATTTCTTCAATTAAACTTGTTTATATAAAGCTTTTTTATATATACACAAGCTCATATGCTGTAGTTACAACAATCTTTGCCATACAAGGCACACAGAATGACAGCCTGAACTTTGTATTCCTAAGGCTAGTGTTGAAACTGACCCTTAATTTTATTATTACTAATATCAGCATGCTGTCAGATAGGATCCTGGCAATTTCTGATGCCATATATTATCAAAATGGAAACAAATCTAGCCATGCTTGGCAGGACAGGAAAATATGAGAAGGGGGAAATTTCAGCACTTTAGATTTTTTCTTCTCCACTAAGGTGCCCTGTATGAGCTAGCAGTCTGAATCTGCTCTACAGGACTGGCACTTCCTCAGACCATGCCCTTCTGTGCATTTCTTCCCGCCCCCAACCTCAGTTTCCCCTTGGCTGAAAAACTTCCTTAGAAATTTTACATCTCCAGGCAAGAGGATGGAAAGTGTTCCCTCAACTAGAGAAACTTATTTTTCCATAGAACAATTTTGATAAGTTACATCACATGGCAGTAGTCTTTACACATGCCAAGTCTTGAGGGCAGGGTAAGCATGGACAATTCTCACCCAGAAAATACGGAGTTAATAATAACCAGGAATAACCAATAATCAACCAGGGAAACCTGATATGCCTCTCACCAGAGTCAGAGGAAATATTCTATAGAGAATTATTAGGATAGGTTTTAAAACAGAAGCATCTCAAAATAGGAAGAACTTCCTGAAGGTACATCCAGCTCAGAGATTCTGCTATCACATCCTCTTTGCAGAACAAAGAAATCAGAGGATGGCATTAGTGAACCCAAATCAGGGAGGTTCCCCACAAATCTGTCACAGGGCATAAGGGAGACATAAATACGAAAGTCTCCCTGGAAGCCTGGTTGGAAACTTCACTGATAGGTTTCAAAACAATCTTAAAACAGTAACAGTATTTAACAGATCAGTAAGTCTTAAAAACTTCTGGGGCTGTGTAGCACTGCACCACCCTTCATCTCGTCACCTCCACATGAAATGCAAACATGAAAACCCTTCAAGGGTATGAGGTTTATGGATCAGGTGTACCCAGAACTCCTCAATGTTTCCGATGAATCCTGTTTGACAGCTTGCCTCAGCACTCAGGTGAGAGATAAAAGCCAAGTGAATAGTCGAGCAGTTCAAACTCCTATTCTCTATAGGACAAATCCTAAAATCCTTATTCAATTTCTGTTCTGTCCTCACGAAGGGAAACTACCAACTCTCAGTGAGAAATGACTGAAGGGAAACATTTAATGGGAGATGAAGGAATTGCCCTCTCCATGTGGAATTTTCCCGGTGCAGGGGTGTCAGCTGTTTCTCAGCATCATCCCTGGACTCTTGACAGTCTCTCTCCAAGTCTGTGCATGAGGGAGGGAAGCTGTTCTCACGACTCCCTATGCTCCCTAGCCTCACAGAGATCCTGTGCTTAACTCTTCCAACCTCACTCCCCAGTATATACCACCCTACCCCGGGTCAACACAACCCAAAGGGAATCTGAGCATAATCCAATGACACTGCCAGATATCAGTGTTTTGCAAGGAGCTTCTTTATGTTGGTGAAATCCCAGGTTAGCTTCCCATATAGGATTCCCTGGCAATACGATTCCTTTAGCTCCAAAGGCCACCGGCCACAAAGCTAGTGCAAAAGCCGGGTGCTCCTCCACAGCAAAACCCTGGACCCACTGATGTCAAGAAGACTTTTAGCACTGACAACGAGCAGCTCCAGGGTTTCACCCCTGCTCCCTCCCCCTGGCATCCAGATGAATGTAAAGAGAACCTGCACAATAGAGGGATCAAACACCCCTTCTTCCATGCTGGACCAGAAGGAGAAGCCCCTCCAGGGGAGGAGGAGTGGGGAAGGAACACCATGCCAGCCCCAGGTGTCCTGCCTGCGAGCAGCGACGGGAGGACTCGGCCCTGAGTCATTTCCTTCCATTGCTAGTGTCACCCAGTCTGACAAGTGCGGCGCTCAGGAGTTTTCCTCAGCCCCCGCCTCAAAGCCATGGGTAGCGGTTTAGGTAGGGCTGATCCTGCCTCGAGGCAGAGAAACGGCCAGGAGGTGGCCTCTGGAGGTGCCTGCCAGCCCTGCTTCCCTGGGGCTGTACCTAATAGCTTGGCTGGGGCTGCCCTTGCCTGCACCAGATGCAGAGATGTTAGGGACTGGAGGAGACCTTACAGGATCATCAGGGCCCAGCCCCCCTGCACGTGGACAGGGACGACTGCCGGGGGCTGTACCCCATGCTCAAACTGGGAGGGACTGGGGGGGCTGGGAGCTGCACTGACAACATGTCCCAGGGGCAGGCCACGGGGTGCTGCCTGCCCTGCGCCGTGGCCCCGCAGGGGAGGCAGGGGCAGGCCGGCGGCGGGGCAGGGGGTACCTTGAGGCCGCGGATCTCCCCGAGGTGCAGCTGGAGGCGGCGGTTGACCTCGCGGATGAGGTTGCTGTGGTCCAGCATCGCGCTCATCTTCTCCGCCTCGGCGCGGCGCAGGCTGCGCACCAGCTCCTCCTTGCTCCACTTCAGCAGCTCCTCGTCGGGCACCTTGGACAAGTCCTCGCCCCCCGTCGCCGCCGCCGCCGCAGCCCCGCTACTTTCCCCCGCTGCTGCCGCCGCCTTGGACATGGTGGCGGCCAAACTTCAGGCCGGGGGGGTGGGGGGCGGCGGCGGCGGTGGCTGCAGCGCGGGGCTCAGGGCCCCCGCTCGCCCGCC